CTTCTCCCTCTGACCCTCCCCCCTCTCATGTGCTCTCTCTCATTCTCTCTCTCTCAAATAAATAAATAAAATCTTAAAAAAAAAAAAAAAGAAAAAGAAAATCCTTCCTTGTCCTGAGCTCGCATAAATATTCATTTATTTCCTTTTAAAATGTGTTTTTAAGCATTTAATCCTTCTACCCATCTGGATTTATTTTTACTCTGTGGAATGAGGTGACGGTCTAACAGTCTCCCCCCAAACACATAGTTATTTTTCCTCAAACCATTTCCTATCAAGAATAGATATGTATAGGGGCGCCTGGGTGACTCAGTCGTTGAGCGTCTGCCTTCGGCTCAGGTCATGATCCCAGGGCCTTGGGATCGAGCCCTGCATCGGGCTCCCTGCTCTGCGGAGAGCCTGCTTCTCCCTCTCCCACTCCCCCTGCTTGTGTTCCCTCCCTCGCTGTCTCTCTCTCTGTCAAATAAATAAAATCTTTTAAAAAAAATAGATATATATACAAATAATCAGCCTTCCAATTTGTTTTCTAACCCTTTTGGAGGGAATTGCATGCTTTCCCTATTTTAGATTATGGTCAGGTGGGAAGAGTGGGGAAGTAGTCAAATCTTATATGGTTACACCTTGGGAAGGCCACCTACTGAACCCATTTCCCTACTACGCATGGTTGCTGGTATCAGAGGCAAACTCCTAGGTTGTGTATGAACCACCTTCATCTCCCCACCCTTCCTCAGAGATTCTCATGTACCCTTTGGAGAGGCATGTCCTGCTTCCCTTGGAGAGTCACTACCATATTCAGTTACCACCAGGGTGTGAGTCTCCTGAAGATAGGATGTATATGTGTATTGGTCCCCAGTTCTTCCCCTAGTAATTAGCTCACTGCAGGGCACAAAAATCTGAATAGACAAATGAGCCACTATTACCAATAGGAGTGCCACGGCTCTCTGATGTGTTTTGAGATGAAATAAAGGTTGGGAACAGCTGTATGAGGTCTGTTTCAAAGAGCATTACATTCACGCAGTCACCCTACCTTCTCCATACTTCTCATGCTGAAGATGCTAAAGCTGCACGTGGCGAACACAAGGGGAGCTTTTCACAGGACCTCTCCCTAGCTCTCACCCCCCAGAGATACAGTCTGGCATGGGGATTTTTAAATGTTCTTTGGGTGATTCTAAAGTACTGATAGAGTTGAGAAAAATGCTTTAAGAAGTGTCTTCTTAATTAAGTTTTATTTTTATTGATATAAAGATTCAATTAAGTAGTTGGATTGTGGGGCTGGGGTGGGGGGGAGGGAAATGTGCCTATCAGACTCCAAAAAGATCATTGGTCCTGTGTGTACATTTTATTGCTGGGAAGATTTTACCCAAAATACTCCTTTGGTGAATATTTTGGACAAAGTTACAATAACGTAGGATCTTATCTAATCTGGCTTTCTCTTTTCTAGGTCAGCATGGATTCCTGGTTCATTCTTGTTCTGCTTGGCAGTAGTCTGACACATGTAGGTGCCAACAATGCAACCACAGGTAAATTGTCATTTGATAAGGCTGGTGTTCTGAATAGAATTTTGCTTTCACATTTAATGACTAAAATTGGAGACCTGGGTGGTATTAAAGAAAGAAAAAATTAATGAAAGTTTTACTTAAAAGTGATGGTATAAAATAAGTGTCTTTGGAAATCTCTGAGTCCTATTGAATGGTCAGCATTGCTCTGTATACAATATACTACTTTAAATAAATAGATTATATGTTCATCCCTGAAAAGTTAAAAAAAAAAATTGTTGCTACTTAAGACTCCTATATATTGATTCTGAGGAAATAAGTAATGAATCCAGTTTTCTTCTTCCCTTAAACAGTAGTCCTTTGGAGATGATAGAAAGGGTCCAGTGTTAGATAAGAATGTGTGTGTGTGTGTGCATTTATTTTTTTAATTTATTTATTTGAGAGAGCGAGAGCGAGTGGGGGGTGGGGGAAAGATAGTCTCAAGCAGACTCCTCAGTAAGGGTGGGGCCCAGCGTGGGGCTCAATCCCAGAACCCTGAGATCATGACCTGAGCTGAAATCAGGAGTCGGCCACTTAACTGACTGAGCCACCCAGGTGCCCCTCTTGGAGAGTTTATTAACGCTTGCTGCTTTGTGCCTCATAACTTTTGAGCTATCACATTCTTCATGGGGTGTTTTTCTTTCTTTCTCTTTTTTTCATGTTTATAGTTTCACCTTCAGTAGGCATTACAAGATCTATGAAAACATCAACAGCAGAGTCAGTCAAAGAAGAGACCAAAGCTTCAAATACTACTTCTTCAGTAACTTCTCCCTCTGTGGCACCAACATTCAGCCCCAATCTAACTCTGGGACCCACCTATGTAACCACTGTCAATGCTTCAGACTCTGACAATGGGACCACAAGAACAGCAAGTACCGGTTCTGTAGTCACTACACTTGCACCGAATGGAACGTGGCTTCCAGAGAACCAGTTCACAGACACCAGCACAGAGCCTTGGGAGGGGAATTCCAGCACCGTGGCCACCACCCCAGAAACTTTCCCTCCTTCAGGTACTAGGGATGGTTTGTTTGTTTTTTTTCTCTTTGAGGTTACTCACTGTTTTATTATTTTGTGTTTTCTAGCCACAAGATTTCTTGAAATAAAAATTGCAAACTAATGAAACTTAGATATAGAGAATTCTCAGGAATATCTGTTTAACATAGACTTAAGAGGAAAGAAGAAATACTCTAGAGGATATCCTGCTTTGCCTGGCATTCTGGTTAGACTGGGGAGGCTTGAGTGTTAAAGGTAGAAGAAGAAGTTTGAAAATACAAGAGAAAGGGGAGCTAATTGATGATGCAAGAGACTGAAGATGAAGGCTGCAGAAGCTGAGTAATAGGATTAGCCTTAAAAAGAAGGGACCCATGGACACCATGGGAAGGAGAATGGGTTTGGATGTCCATAACAGATAGGGAGTGGGAACCCTGTGGCCAGGGGTAGAGTTAGAGGAGCTCAGAGAAACAGTTAAGTTGCAGTACCAGCTTGTTCAGGGCCTCAGCCCAGCCCACTTCTTTCCTTCAGTCCATCAGGGGTTGAATGGGAAGTGGCACCGAAGATAGAATCAGCCCTGAGTCAGAGACCAGGTGGGGTGGAGCAAGTTTCTGACCCTTGGAGCCTCAGGGTCCTGGTCTGTAAAAGAGAAAGGGGTCCCTCACAGGGTTTCTGTGAGTAGAGGAAATTGTTCCCTGACAGCTTCGTAACTGTCATTCTCTAGCAAAAATCACTGTTCCCTCTTCTGTGGTCACATCCCCTTGGCTCAGATTTCTTCCCTGTTAGATGGCGAGGGCTTTTAGAGGAATCACATCTCACTCATGGGGAGCATTCAGAAAGTATTTGCTGAATTGAATCTCATTTGGTTTCTACAGATGACCTCTTTTAGCTGGACTTTACAGCCCAGACCCTGCACCTGCCTGCTTTAATCCCGTATTTTCCACTATAAATGGATTACAGCATTTGCCATTAAGAGCCCAGTCTACTGAGCCACACTACTGGAGTTTGAATCCTATCTCTGCCATACACTGGCTATGTGGCTGCAGGCAAGTTTATTTAACCTCTGTGCCTCAGTTTCTTCATCTGTAAAATAAGAACGAGTGATAGTAATAATACTTACCTTGTAGGGGAACTATCAGGATGAAATGGGTTGATAGAGGTAAAGCATTTACAGTGCACACCTGCACATGGCAAGCACTATTTTTAAGTGGTGGGCGTTGTACTGAGAGTTTTATAAAGTAATCCTATGAAGTATCCTATGAATCCTCTGAAATCGGGTCTATTTTATGTTTTGCAGGTGGAGGAGTTTTACAATGATGAAACTGTAACTTAGGGAGTATTTTTTGAAATACAGGTCATGACCAATTCATAAGATCAGTTTAGTGGGCCATCATGATTTGTTTTGTTTTTAAGTGGATGGTCCTGTTCCATTTCTTTTCTTTTTGTGTTTCGTATATCATTTTGTGAAACTTTTGTTTCAGTTATACAGAAACACCTACTGAGTAACTGTAGAATGCATTTCTTGTTGTGAGTTATGGCCATTACTTCAGGAGGGAAGACAAAATAACTTGTACAAGCTAAAATAGTCAGTGGGAAAGGTGAGACAGCAATCCAGGCCTGACTGATTTTGCATCCTGTGTTCTTCACTTCTGTTCTGTACTGTCTTCATTTATCAGTTCTGTGACATGACCATGGATAATTATCTCCCTTTAATAGATGTCTAATGAAAGACTATAGAGGTTAAATGATTTGTCTTAGATCTCAGGGCTGTTGAATAGCACGTTAGACCTATTTCTCGCTTTTGTGGTCTTTGTACTCTGCTGTTAGGGAATTGAGTTTTCCATTATCTGCCATAGGTCCAAATTATGCCATAGCTAAGAAGCCGGTTATTGTACAGTTAACACATTTCATGTCTCAGGGGAGACTGAGACTGCATTTCACTGGTGACTTTTTCAAGATCAGTAAAACACAAGGAAACCTTTATGGTACATCAGGATGTTACAGCCTGAACCCCCACGTCCTCCTCATCACTACCATTTCACCAGTCCTCCCGTAATTGTTACATCATAATTTTTTGTTAAATCAGTATTTGATGTTTTATATTATTATAACTATAATGTTATTTCCTGATGAGTTATAAGTATAATGTGATGATTTTTCTTGTACAATTTTTTCCTGGATTTTATAATTGCCTTATAGTTCTTTTTTTTTTTTTTTTTAAGATTGATTTATTAGAAAGAAAGAGTGTGCACACTCACACAAGTGGTGGGAGGGGCAGAGGGAGAGAATCTTCAAGCAGACTCCCCACTGAGCACGCAGCCCATCATGGGGCTCGGTCTCACGACCCATGAGCTCATGACCTGAGCTGAAGCCAAGAGTCGGCCACTTAACTGACTGAGCCACCCAAGTGCCCCAATTGCCTTATATTTCTGTTTTAGTTTTCGTTTTGCCTGTTGCTAGTCGATTCTTCTCATACTTTCCATAGCCTCTCAATACAGTTTTCAGTAAAGTCAGATCTGTAAGGTAATCTGTTATTTATTTTTTCCTAGAGATCTTCCTCCTGAGTCGTCCATTGTCTTACTCAAGTCTAGGCTTGATCATCAGGGCTGCTGCCCAGGTGTTGGTGTGGTATTTCCCTTCTCTATTATTTTGGAAATTCCCTCTGCTTCCTGACTTCTATATTGACCTCTTTCTTGGATTACTCCATAATTTGGTAGAACATATCTTCCAGTAGCTTCCTGAGATAGGGAGTCATGGGAGGTACATTGCATGAGGCCTTACATGTCTAAAAATGTCTGTAGGGCTATGTATAGAATTAGAGGACGTATTTTTTTCTCCAGAATGTTGAAAGCATTGTCCTGACTCCTAATTCCCAGGCTTGGAGGATTCTACTGCTGTCCTGATTCTTAATCGCACTTTGGTGTGTTTTTGAAAGATCTTTATCATTAGTGTCCTGAAATTTCACGGAAATGTGTCTTGATGTGGATCTTTCTCATTCATTATGCTGGATATTTGATAGGACCTTTGGAGCCTTGGTTCTTCGATTCTGGAAATTTCTGGTTCTTCAGTTCGGGAAATTTTTCTTCTATTTGGAAATTTTCTTCCGTTGTCCATTTTCTCTGTTTTCTTTTTCTAAAACTCTTTTATTATTTGGATATTGGACATATCCTAGATTGATTCTTTATTTTAAATTTTTCTCTCCTTTTGACCTTTGCTTTGAGTCTCTGTTTTTTTTCCTTTTTATATATGTATGTATGTATGTATATGTATACATATATATTCCTTTTTCTTGTATTTATAACATGATACACATACGTGTTGTGTATATTTCTGCACATTGCTTTGTTTCGTTAGCCTGTCATACCTGTTCTGTATTACAGTAAAGAGCTGCTTCATTGTATGGATATACCTTAATGTATTTATCCAGTCTTCCCTATCAGTATACATTAAGGTTGTTTTAAGAGTACAAACAATAAAATTTATCATTTCAAGCATATATGAGAATAGTGGTACGATAAATTATTTTTAAGTATGCATTTGTAAACTGGTGGATATTGCCAGATTTTCCTCTATTGGGAAATTTATTCCTATGAACAGTGTGTCAGAGTGCCTTTTTCCTAAGCTGTCTTCACTGCAGTAAATTACCAAACTTCTGGATCTGTGCCAGTCTGACAGGTGAAAATTAGCATCTCAGTGTAGCTTTAATTTGCATTTCACTGAGTGAGGGTGAGCATCTTTCCATATTTGGAAAGATCATTTGTATTTCTTTTTCTAAGAACTCTGTTGGTATCCTTTGCCTGGTTTTCTTAAGAGAATGTCAGGTTTTTCTGACTCATTTATAGAAGCTTTTTAATGTTAGGGAAACGAACCTTTGCCTACCTGTGATAAAGTTGCAAATATTTTTCCCCAGTTGCTCATCTAGCTTTTCTTCATTGCAGAAACTATCATAAGCAATTTAAAATATTTTTTAATTAAAAAAATTTATCAGTTTAACTAAATGTTTTCTTGGTATTAGATCATATACAGGAAGACTTTTTTTTTTTTTTTAGATTTATTTATTTTAGAGAGAGAGCACAAGTGGGAGGCTGGAGGGAGGAGAGAGCATCTCAAGCAGACTCTGCATAGAGCCCATGGTGGGCCTTGATCCCAGGACCCTGAAATCATAACCCGAGCCAAAACCCAGAGTCTGACACTTAACCGACTGTACCACCCAGGTGCCCCTAGGAAGGCTTTTCTTACACCAGTATTACAAAATAATTTTCCTAATTATTTCTTCTGGACTTATGGTTTCTTTCTTCTATATATGTATATGTGGGTGTGTGCTTAAATCTTTTATCCATCTGGAATTTATTCTGATGTGAAGTGTGAGCTATGGGTCTGTTTTTTTTTTTTTCCCCCGAAATGGTTAACGACTTGTCCCAATACCTTTTAATGAATATCTATTTTTTTCCTCACTGATTCAAAATGCTACCTTATCATATATTGAATTCTGATATGTATTTAGGTTCCCATATGTATTTGAGTTCTGTTTCTTGGCATTTGTATTTTCTTTTAATTATTTTCTCTGTCCATGTCAGAACCTCACTGTTTTAATAATTGTAACTGTAAAATTATTCAGTATTTGATAAGGTTAGTCATCCCTTGTTAATCTTATTTTTCAGAATTTCACTAGCAATTCTTGATTATTTTTCTTTATGAACATTAGAATCAACTTACATAGTAGGAGAAAAGTTTTTATTGATTATGTCACATTTATAGGTTAACAGGACAGTTGACATCTTGAAGTCTTTTTTTTTTTTAAATTAAAGATTTTATTTATTTATTAGAGAGCACAGGCAGGGGGAGCAGCATAGGGAGAGGGAGAGGAGAGGCAGGCTCTCCAATGAGCAGGGAGCCTGATGCGGGACTAGATCCCAGGACCCTGCAGTCATGACCAGAGCCAAAGGCAGACATTTAACCAACTGAGCTACCCAGGCTCCCCATCTTTAAGTCTTTCTATCCAAGAATGCAGTGTATTTCA